AACGCTATTTACACCTTGCTCCCATCATACTTCATCCTAATCATACTAATATTATAAATGCGAAAATTTAGATCGATGGATGGATGGATGTTTGTTAGAGTTTGAAGCCTAAACGGCTGAACGGATTTCAATGAAATATGCTATAGATATAGATTATAAGTCTGGAAGAAAACATAGACTACTGACTTTAATTTTTTTTAATTCCACGTAGACGGAGTCGCGGCTGAAAGCAAGTACATCATAAAATGGCTCCTACAACACGCTAAACTGGTGTTGTAAAACGTTTTTTATAGGTACCGTAGGCTGGATGGTTGCCTAGTATTCAAAATAAACACTTCCTTTTGAAGAAATACAGGATTATGTAAGATTTTTACCAACTAAAACCACAGTGGCCATCTTCAAGTATAATTGCGAAAATCCCAGAATCTCCTGTCACGAGAATTCGGATCAATAAATGCCGATTCCCGTAATCAAATACAAAATAATCATGCATTAAAAGCGACTTTAGAGTACTGTTACCAATGATCATGACGGCTTCATTGGGTCGCAGCAGCTCCGTGAAGAGCATGGAGGCCATCAGCTCCGGACAGATCACGAAGCGGATCTCCTCCTGCACGCAGCCGTGGCCGAGCACGCCGCCGCCCAAGTATCTACACATAAATAATAATTAAATCAGAGTCTTTTTCCTTTAGTTTTTAATTATAGCATATTACAAATCTTTATTATTGATCAACTAGGGAGAAACCTGTCGCATAATGTTCATACCGATGAAAGAAAGCGGGAAGATCACTTTTGCTACCTGTCATTTGAAATGTCAAAAGTGAAAGGTTTTATCATAGAGTAGTCGCTTACATTTAAATAGAGCCCTTGTCTTTGAAATTGGCCCTTACATTTGTTTCATTTTTATTTTTTTATGCATTGCAGAATATGCTAGTTATAAAATTGGAATCTTATAGGAAAGTCGAACATACTTATTAGCAAAATCAACTTGTATGAGACCATCGGCGTCCTCTATAGTGTCTGTGGAGTTGACGTGCAGCGGCAGCGACAGCTCGCGCTCGGAGTCCCGCCAGCGAGGCAGCGCGCGCGGCGGCACCGAGCGCCGAGAGAACGTCACCACCCCGCGGGGCACTGTGCTGCAACACGCCGTAACATGCCACAACATGCCGCGACATGCCACAACACGCCGCAACATGCCACACACCGCAATATGCCACAATACGCCGCGACATACCACAACACGCCGCAAAAAACCCTCGCGATATTGCGAAAAAATGTGGAACAATACTAAACTAGTAGTTCCCTTGGGACTTCATGTGTGCATTTTAAAATACAGTAGTTTTTAAGTTTTCTCTAACAAAAATTGTAATAAAACTCCGAAATGTTTGTCTCAAAGTCGGTTTCCGCTTTTTTCGTTTACTATTTTACAAAAAAATTACATGAAATATTTGAATTATCATCGTTTTTATATAGTGTTCCTGTAATTTTAATAATATGACATATTTTCACCTTCTGTGTAAACTCTTCTGAAGTAATGACAAATGCACTTGAGTTTTTCTAACACATCATCTGATGGTGATGCTTCATACAATCTGGAAAAGTTTTCATTTATTTATTTAATACTTTACACATAATTATCATTTAATTAAAAATGTATATAAAAAGACAGATAATGAATGACGAATCATCAAAACTTACGTGTTGAAATTAATAAAAGGATATGTTGCATATTCCGAGTCTGGCTTCAAACTATTTCTCCGAGGAAATGTACAGAAGAATGCATTTGCTAGTAAACTTGAAATCTGTTGTTGCGACAGTGATATTGACATGTTCTTATGTTGCCTGTAAAAACAAAAAAATCCAATAAGAAAATTTACTTTAAAGTACAGATTATAATCATGCTACTTGTCATTTGAACTCACTTTAGCAGTGGTATTGGTGCTTGTATCAATTTAGGCAAATCCAGAACTAATTTGACTATTTCAGGCAATGTCACATCAAAGAAAGATTGGGATTCCTCTTCTTCTAAACACTGAAAAAACGTTATAAAAAATTATTTATCAAACATATAAAAAACTATAAAAAACACTGTTATTTTCTGTGAAGTTAATATACCTCATTGAATAACTTATGAAGAGCTCTAAATTTCCATCTACTTTTAAACTTAGTATTATATGCTAATATGGCATTGGCTAGCTCATGACTATTTTTTATTGGTTTCTTTAAAGTGTCCACTATGATCGCCCAACGTTTTCTTAACCTTGTTTCACCTTTCTCCTATAATACAAAATAGAAAAAAAATTAAACATAGTACAGGAGTAAATCATACTAATATTATAAATGCGAAAGTTTAGATAGATGGATGTTTGTTAGAGTTTGTAGCCTAAACGGCTGAACGAATTTCGATTAAATGTCGTACAGACGTAAAGGATACTATGGAAGAACACATAGGCTGCTACAATTCATATTTTTTTTAAATTCCATGAGGATGGAGTTGTGGGCGCAAGCTAGTAAAGATATAATTTACATAGACAAATAGTAAGGTAAATTACTATAAAATTTAAATTTTAAAAGTAATAGAATATTAACTTACATCAGTTACAGGGTATAAGCTCTGCTTAGAGCATGGTAACCTAACATGATTTTGGTCCCATTTATCTTGCCCGACCTGTGGCTTCGGAGGTCTGTCACCGGCCAGTACGCCATTACTCGGTATATGATAAAGAACTGCATGGTTATGTCCAGGCTGTACCGGCGGGAATCCCGGGGCATCCCAGGGAGACTCCGCTCCGTATAGCATTGATAAAGGAGCTCCTTTCCATTCATGTCCCGACGACATCTTTAATCTTTTAAAAATAGGTTGAAAGAACTTCTTTACGCCTGTAATGTAAAGAAAGCCTTTTGTTTATCAACATGACTTTTCAAGCTTATTGTATTGTAAACAATAAAAACAAGATATGTGTACATACTTAGCTTAACAATGTGATTGTAAAAAAGAACCGTAAACATTAAGAGCATTAACTTTACATTTTATTAAGACGAAACAATGTAAAAAATATTTTTACCGAATTATCAATATCAGTTCGGTTATGCCACCTGTCATTTTTAATGTCAGAGTTGAACTATGTCATAGAGTGTGCGACACATTTAAATTGTGATAAATCTAGTTTTCTGATTAAACAGAGGTAGTCTGAGGTCCAAAAATTAAATATCAAATCAATAACATTTTCTTTTTTTTTATTGTTGTTTGCTTTTCCAGTTGATGCTTATTCAAAATATTTATTACTCTTTGGTATATTTTTAACCTTAAAATTTTATGCGTCAGATTTTGTATAAAAACAATAACATTTTTCTCAATCATTCCTTAAGTATTAAGTATTTATTATTTTAATTAATATTACATTAATTTTGTAGTCTTAACTATGTTGTTTTGAGATAAATATTAAGATGAACTTGGAACTATTAGGTTTGTAATGATACATTTATTATATACTTGTTACGTTTGTTATGAATCAATTCTATTGTTTTATTTTATTTTTCAGAATCATTTGGACAAAATTACCCAGAGGTAAGTATACTCAATGTCTTAACAAAATTTAGACTTTATTGTACTGTAAAAAATATGTAACCGGCAAAGAAGGTCGGTTTTCATTAGAAAGTAAACATATAATTGGACTAACTTTTCTGTCACCTCGTAATTTAATCAGAAAAGTGTAATAAGTGTAGTCCTATTAATACACAAATAATTTTCATATGTTCAAACAAGTTATGATATTAATAAATAATAATTATGATAAACGATACTTTTATGTCAGGAGTTCGATGGTGCCTTGGACTCGATATCACTGGCCGCGACATGCGCGTTCAACCGGCGCGGCACTCTGCTGGCAGTGGGCTGCAACGATGGCAGAATCTTCATCTGGGACTTCCTGACTCGTGGAATTGCTAAATCAATATCAGCACACGTTTACCCTGTTTGCAGTTTAAGCTGGTCAAGGAACTGTAAAAAAGTTAAACAATTAATCTATTATCTTGATATAAACATTATTATACACTATCTAAAAATTCTACTAACTTTAATAAACACTTATAAAGTTTGTTACAACTTGCATCATATTGAGAGTTTTTTTTTTATCATTTGCAGCTATTATCAGCTTCAACAGACCATAATGTGTGCATATGGGATGTTTTATCTGGAGAGTGTGAGCAACGCTATAGGTTTCCAACCCCCATAGTCAGGGTGCAGTTTGATCCGAGAAATGACAGGAGATTTCTTGTATGTCCAATGAGACATGCAGCTTTGCTAGTTGATACTGAAGGTGAACATAAAATATTACCAATTGATGATGATGTAAGTATCTAAAAGACTTAATTAAGCAATTTTTGTTTACTTACCTGCTGTTTACTGCTTTATAAAACATCCCTTTGAAAAACAACTGAATTTTTCCCTTTAACAACCAAATATGATACATTTATAAAAATGTTTAGTAGAAAATACTGATAATCCAACCATTTGTTACACTTTGCTAACCGTTATATAAACAAAAGAACTTGACATCAGTACTGAAAAAAGATTTATAACCTACCTAACTAAAACTTTGGAGAGCTCCTATAACTTCAAAATAATAGTGCTTGTATAGTAGTAATCAAATATTTTGGTGGCTCGGTACATTGCATGAATCTTTACTCAATTTGAGAAATGATGAATGCCAACCTGAGCCACTAAGATATTTGATAACACTTATACTTTTGTTTCAGGGGGATATAAATGTAATAGCATCATTTGATAGAAGAGGTGATTATGTGTACACAGGCAATGCTAAAGGGAAGATATTAATTTTAGACTCTCAGACATTAGCCGTAAAGGCGAGTTTTAAAATAACAGTTGGAACATCCAGTACTACTGGCATTAAAAGTATTGAATTTGCTCGGAGAGGAGAGTGAGTATTTATAGTTTTTAGTGTAAAGTATCCGCATATATGAGCTACCTTTTTGTCAAAGTCTGGTTAAAATCAGTTCAGCCATTCTGGACTATGTAGAGAGTAATTTAATTATTTTATCATAAAAGCAAATACTTGTTTACGAAATATGATTTCTAACATTAAATACATACACTTCAATGTTATTATATGTATAGAATGTATAACAGCTAGTCTATACCAGCTGTTGCTCCCGACTTTGTCCGCGGAAAAAAATATAGCCTCCATTATTCACAAAAAATTGCCTTTCTAGTGGTGAATTAATTTTTTAAATCAACCTAATAGTTTTTGAGTTACTTCAATACATACAAAAGTACAAATCTTTCCTCTTTATAATATTATTATAGATTTTAGTAAAAAGTATTGTTTGGTGTGTTTGGATGGACATTTATGTATTACTACTGTAAGGTATTAAGAAATAATTAATTTTTCAGTTGTTTCCTTGTGAATACATCAGACAGGGTGATTAGAGTTTATGACACAAACACTGTGCTCAAATGTGGAACTAACGGGGAGCCGGAGCCGATACAGAAACTACAGGATCTTGTTAATAAGTGAGTAATTTTTTATTACTAGTACTAGTAAATAAGCTAAAAACGTGTTGAGTGATGAACCAGACCGCATACTTGTTACCCTTAACCATTGGTCATCCAAAATTGTCATTGGCATCTAAAACTGTCTCCCAAACAGACTTGCGTATAGTTTAGAGCTGCCAAGATATTTGATATTTATTATACAGTCAGCTCCATAAATACTCTTGTACATTTCTCCACGAAGGATCAAAAACTTGTAAACTTCGGTTTCACAAAATGTGAATGTATGAATCTGTATGTGAGCTACTAAATCATTTATGCTATTGATGTCTGCATATTTTTTTTTATATTGAAAACATAAAAGTTTCAAGTAAATACACATTTATGCATCTAATTAACTTATAAAAACTTTCGTGAGACATACTATATGATTTATAACACGGCTAAATTCACGTGGAAACTTTCGGTGTAGGCACCGACCAGTTTCAAATCCGTAGAGAGTCCTTCAGGATGAGTGGTTACTGGCTTTATTCGATATCGCGTCGCGACGGTCACTGAAAATCATTTATACTGACTGTACTAGAGATCTTTTAAACATGACAGCAACTACGAATTAGTGTGTGATTTTTCAATAAAATGAAATTAATAATAATATTTAAAGCGCCAATAGCCTAATGGTTAGCGGTACGGATTTCCGATCACGTGGTCAGGGGTTTGAATCCCGCCATTCGACTATTGTAAAGGCA